GAGGGGGAGAGAGAGAGAGAGAGAGGGAAGGGGAGAGATGGCGCGAAAAGTCATTTTGAAAATTAGAATGGCTTTTTATTTACATTTTTTATGTAAGCTATCAGATAAAGTTGAGGATTTTGGATTAAATATAATGATATTTAGAGTTATTATGCAGTTTTCCAGTACAGGGAGGGCATGGAGTTGGCGTTTAAAAATAAACGGTTGATTTAGATGTAATAAATATACATATGATAAATATATAATACATATAATTTGCTTTACCGATAATTAAAGAAAGTAGTAAAAGGCTGATTAGGGAATGGGGACATGAAGATGGGAAAAACGAGAGGAACACTGATCTGTATATTAATGACTGGATTGCTGTTCTCTAGATCAGTGGACTGGAAGAAAAAAAATGTATTCGTGCTTCTGCGTTCACTAGCAAGATTTTTACATTCTCTCGCAACAGTATTGCATTCCCCATAGAAACTTTTCATTCGCTTGCATGTGGGAGAAAAAAATTAAATTCAATCTCTTTTTTTTTTGCAAGTATGCGTTCCCTCAAGAAACTTTGCATTGGAATGTTTTTTTTTTCTCTCATACCTCATTATTTTCATAACAAATGCTTGAGTGAATGTAACATTTGTCGAGGAATTCAAAATTTTTGCAAGCAAATGCAACGTTACTTCAAGGGGTCATATGATGCTGCTAAAAAGAACATTATTTTGTGTATTTGGTGTAATGAAATGTTTATGCGGTTTAAGGTTCAAAAACCAATTATTTTCCACATATTGTACATTATTGAGACTTTAGTCTTTGCAACTTTACAGATCTTCTTTATGCACCAAGAGCTTGTAACACTCCAAAGAGAAAGGAACAGTTGAAATCACATCATATGACCCCTTTAAGGGAACAATTGTTTTACGAGAGAACGTGAAAGTTTTGTGCGAGAATGGAAAAGTTTTGTGAGCGAAAGCAACATTTCTCAGAAGTAGCCTACACAAAACTTTTGCTGGGGAATTCAGTCGTTTTGTGAGAGAAAGCTAAAGTTTTGCTAGTGAAGCGCGAGCGAGCGCAAAGCTTCTCGGGTGAATACAATACAAAGTTTCTTGAGGAAGCATAATACTTTTGAGACGGGATGCAAAAGTTTTGCGATCAAATGCCGTGTTTCTCAGTGGAACGCAATATTTTTGAGAGAAAGCAAAACGTTTACAAGTTAACACAAAGTTTCACGTGGAAACACAATACATTTTTGCAAGTGAATGCAAAGCTTTTTGGGGAAACGCAAAAGTTTTGTGCAAGAATGCAAAAGTTTTGCGAGCGAACGCAAAGTTCCTTGTTTGAAAGCAACACTTCTGCAAGAGAACACAAAAACTTTACAAGTGAACGCAAAGTTTCTCAGGGGAATGCAAATGTTTTAAGAGAAAATGCAAATGTTTTGCAAGCGAATGCAAAAGATTTGCGAGAAAACTCAAAAGCATTTAAATATAATGTTTCTTCCCGTCTTATTTTCATCTCACCATGATCCATTAGGGCCTGAACCAGTCAATTGTTGTGAATTAGACTCATTTAGATCATTTTTCATGCTCACACTGCTCATCTAAATAAATTATTTAATACTGTGATTAAAATTAATGAATAATTTAATAGGGACAACAACCCTATCAGAATTTACCAGTCGATGTAGAAAATGCATGTTGACCAGCAGGCGAAAAACAATATAGTTTAAATATATAAACAATATTTTATGAAATCATCGTGAATGCTAGTGAATTAAGCAAAAGAAAAAAATAAAGAAATAAAAATAAAATAAATAACCAAAATGTAAACAGAATACCTGAAGAATGGTGGAAAGGGCTGTGTTTGTGTCACTATTGTCTTCAACAGCTGAAAGTTAGTTCATGAATATTAATCTAGTCATGCTAAATTTGCTTGGTAACCTTGTTCATTAATATTTATAAGCCCAAACCTTTACCCAAGTAGGATTCAAATCTGTCAGTTGACCAGCGCCCACTTTCGGCCAATCGTAGAAAGCCTATTGGGCGGACCTCCCCGTCATCTAATTAATATTCATGAGCAGCTCCTTCGCATCTGCAGCCGGCAGCGTCAAAGACCAACGCCGTGTGGACTTCAAAACACAAATAATGTCTTACACACCCTTGCAGGGTAGGTACTAATACTCAAAATTATAACTTCCCCGGTGATTTCAATAAATTAGACAATTACCGCCTTTAAAAGCTGCTTTATACGTCCTGGATATGAAATTTAACAAAAATAGCTGATGAGTTAAATTTAGACTGAGGGCAAGAAACACAGCTAGCGTGTTAGCTTTAGCTCTAGCGTTAGTGCAAGTGCTCAATGCCCAGTTTAACAAAATAAACTGACTTTTGGCTTTTTGCAATGCTTATTTTTCATGTTTGCAAACCACCTCATTATAGCCTTCCTGGAGTGTGTAGTTTAAGTGAAGCGTGTAGGTGTTTTTATCAGCTGGCTTGGTGTTAGCCGTTAGCATCAAGTCAGTAACATTGTTTCGTATAAATAAAGCATTGAGAGTTATGTGCATTGAGCCATTTGTATCAAACTGTACAAAATTAAGACATTTATGAGGACATTTTAACGTGTCGTGCAAAAAACATGATCTAAGGCATTAGTCTGTGATGGTGTGTCTATTGAAATTTGGCAATTTGATGTAGCAGGTGTTTTGCTGTATTATATCTATGATGGTAAAGATAAAGCTTCGATTATTAGGTTATTCTGATGTATCAATGCTGTTAGACATCGTATTTAAATGTTGGTCACATTTGGAGTGCATGTTGACCTTGTATAATGCATGTGTGCCCTGCAGGTTGTTCAGTGCTGAGATATATCTAGAGCAGATCAGAGCATAACCATGGATGAGGAGGACAGCCAGGATGAGCTGATCAACAGGAACGTCTCCCACAGAAAAGGAAAAAGACCTGTCGTGTCCATCATCTCTGATGACGGTTTGTAATCTTGCATCAATAAATGGAGCAACACAGGAAGTGTTGTATGCCCTAAATGATCTCTATCCATTCTGGAAAGCCTGATACATGAAATAATAGTCAGAAAAAAATCGTATTTTTATGAAACTGAACAGTTTAAGACAAATTTAAAAACAAATAAAGTTTGCATATGTTTTTGTATCATATTTGATACATAAAGCTTTTATGGCTCATATAATATGATACAATGTCACTAATAATATCAGAGTTATTCCTACATTTATCTGATACAAATCAATAAAGATTTCACAGCAAAAAGCTAGATGTTTGTGCAGTTTTTACTTGCTAAACTTTAACTTTTTTTAAACATGTTTCTTTTTGATACAGGGTTTATGCTGATGAGAGGCCTTAGAAATCTGTGTATCAGATATGATACAGTCAGGATTGCATTTAATACATATTTTTATTCTGTTTTCTATTGTATTTTTAATGACTTCTCTTCTTGCATCTCACTGAAATTCAGAGGACAACTCAGCAGATGAGGGGGAATCAGAGGAAGCAGAAACAGGCAGCGAGGAAGATGATGACGACCAAGAGGAAGTGCTTGATGAAGACGAGGAGGAAGAAGATGAGGATGAAAGTGAAGGTAAGATTTAACTTCAACATGACTTTTTTATTGACATCTTTATTGTTGTCAATTTTAGTTGATTATATGAACATTTTTATATTTTAAAAGTTTTTTGACTTCTAAATCCACCATTTGTATTAGCTATTTAATGATTTAAACGTCTGCCAGAATAATAATATCTTAATATTAATTATCTTCTTAGGGCCTTTTATCACCACTAAATGTTAAGCTCGTGATAAAATCTAAACGGACAGTTCATGTGTTTTTATGCAATATTGCAGTGTTTAAAATAAATGATCTTTGCTCACATCATTATTTTTTAAGATGTTTTCAACTTAAAATTTGATTATGGAAATAAATACTAAAATGCATATCTAACCACATGATACAATGTTGTATCAGTCTTATAAAAGTGTTTTCCAACAGATCATGTGGCACATTAATTGTTTGGAGTGGTGTGTTAAAATATGCATATCGTAACCCTGATCACAGCATCCTCAAACAAACATGGGAGGGAAAACACTGTTGTGTGTGTGTGTGTATCTTCAGATGAGGACTCTGGTAAGGTGCTGGAAGGACCTGTAGGGAGTGTTGCTGTGGATGCAGCGGGTCTGAGCTCAGACGAGGACTCGGAGAAATGTCCCATCTGCCTGAACTCATTCCACGAGCAGCCCGTGGCCACGCCGGAGTCCTGCGAACACTACTTCTGCCTGGACTGCATCCTGGAGTGGTCAAATGTAAGACTGATGGGCTTTAACCGATTACATCACTCATGCATAAAGTTCTTGTCCATATTTGGTCATTGATTCTATACAGATATTCAGTATTATTCATAATACGCAACTACAGGTAGCTGATGCAATAGTGTTCATAAGTGCTATTTTAGTATCGGAACAATGATACTATTATAGTTTTTATATTTTCCATTTGGATTTTTATTGTAGTTACATTTTAGAATTTTTTTTTGTGGGTTTTTTGTCATTTTTCTTTTCTTTTCTTTTTTTTTAGTTTTTAGTTTTATTTCAGTTTTAGTTATTTTTAGTGCTGTCAAATGATTAATCGCGATTAACCGCATCCAAAATAAAAGTTTTTGTTTACATAATATATATGTGTGTGTGTACTGTGTATATTTATGTATATATAAATACACACACATGCATGTATACATTTAAGAAAAATGTTATATTTGTATATTAAATGTATTTATATATAATATAAATTATATGAATATAAATATATACATGTAAATATTTTTTAAAAATATACTGTATTGAGTGTGTCTTTTTATATATATATATACATATACACAGTACACACACATGTATTGTGTAAACAAAATTTTTTATTTTGGATGCGATTAATCACGATTAATCGTTTGACAGCACTAGTTATTTTAGTACATGAAGCTAAACTAAATGAAAATGAGAAATGTTTCCTTGGCAACTAGCTGAAATAAAAACAAAGAAATAAAAGTTTGTTTTATTTCAGTTAAAGTTTATTTCAAGTATTTTTTTTAAATTATGGTTTTAGTTAAAGGTCCCCTGAAGTGCCTTGAAACACGCAGCATTATTCTATGTGGTGACGTAATTTCAACTGAAACAGGAA